CACACACATAAAAAATAAATAAATAAAAAAAATTTAAAAGTTACCTCAACAAAAGGGCACTTTGGGCACTCATCAGGAAAGGGGCGGGTGCTCAAGCCCCTCTAGCCCCCCCCCCGCACGTGCCTGCATAATTGTAACAAAGGTTTTGACGTTTGACAGAACGGGCCCATCCAACAGCCCTGCAACGTGAGAGCTCGTCACTAACTCAGCGAAAAAGTAGATGATTTTTCCTTTCCTTTCTTACACTTATGCTACCTGCTAATTATCAGCGTTGTTTGTGTGCCAACTGACCGTTTAAAAAAAAAAGTGCCAAATTTTCACAGCCAATGCTCTGCTCGTACGAGGACCATCTATGCATGATTTAAGTGTGACCTTTCTGCCTGGGTGCACAGCGTGACGTCTCCTTTCTGTCAACTAGCAAACCCGTCTAAAACCAGCTTTTGGTAAACTGGCTGAAACGTCGCTCACGCCTTATTCCGAGTGTTTTTAAAGAGTTGGGCTTTTCTTTGAGCCAAGCTTTGTGGCGCATAAAGCATTTTCAACTGATAAGTTTCAGTTTTTCCTTACAGAATGGACAAACAATAGTTGTAATGAAGTAACACTTAAAGAGTTCCTGAATAGTTTTCTAAAAAAAAAAGTTTTATGAATACAGATTGATCGCTATTTGCTTTGTGTACAGTATTAAGCACTGCCTGACTTGAACCATCATGCTGTGTCCTCCTTCGGTCTCTTAATGCTTTCCATTAAAATCCTCTGAACTATGGTTACTGCAGCTGTTTGCAACAGGTCTGTATCTGTATTCTGCATGCTGAAGTACAAAAGAGAGAAAAGGCTTTTCTTTTAAGTGCTGAGGACTCAACACTTTCTCTCTGGTATACAGGCAAGCCTCTGTTTGCAGATGCCCTAATGTTTTAACAGGTCAAATTGTTATTTATTTGGCAGACATACATACTACAGAGCGAGAACGTGGACAGATACAGTATGCAGCAGTTTTCTATTCTTACATGTCTGATGATATTGCTTAATAAAGGAATTTCAAGATTTTTTTTTAATCATTGTCAAGTTCAAGTTCTTTTTTTTTTCTTTTTTTTCCAGTAAAGCCTCCGTTTTAGTGAACCAGCCTTCACCCTGTGTTTTAAATGCGCTCCTGTGACTGCTGTGTTGCTATAAAGGTTTTAACTGCTTCCCCACTGCGCACATTAAAGTTTTGTGCCAGAGCCCACTTACATCAGGGTAAGTGGGAACTATCGGGACGCATTCCCTGCTTTCGACAACACGCCTTTTCTACGTTAAAATATTTCTGTGGGAGTCGTTTCCCATGAAGTATGGGGCTATTTAAATTTAACTGTCTGAATGCAGTAACTGATCGTTGTAACCCAGCTGTACATCCTTCCTCTAAGTAATATTTGCCCACAGCTGTCCCTGTGTGCATCCAAAAGGTAATCCTGACCTTAAGAGGATTACGCATGGATCAATAACAGACTCGACTCTGAAAGAGGGAAAACTTTACTTTGTCTGCACAGAAAGAAATCTCTCTCCTTTGCATATAAACTATGACTTCATCGCACGGGTTGACGTAAAGAAAATGAGCAACTCTAGTTCTGAGTTTGATTTCTGTGCCGTCCCCGAACGCACTGATTGGAAACAGATGCGCGCGCATGCCATGCACGTAGGCAACCAAAAGCTAGTCTTCCGTTAAACGTAATGCACGTGCAGCCCATCACTGAATGCGATTTAATTGGCGCGTAATTACGCACGACGGATTCTCCCGTTTGATTCCACTTTCATAACTGTAACTGCACGCGAGTATGCGTGCGTTTGAAGCGTGTGCGTTTGAGGCGTGGCTTTCAGTGACACAGAGCCCCCCCCCCCCCACACACACACACACACACATACACACACCTCCTCCCTTCCCCTTTTTTCTTGCGTTTCTCACTCCTCTTGAAAACTACCATTGGGTCGGAAGTTGGGTGACACTCTGTCTGCGATACGAATCTACAGATGCCGCTTAAACGCTCTGCAGATCGCCCGATGTTGGTGTTATAAGAGCCAGAGACGATGAAAAGGTTCATTAAGGTGGGTAAAAATGTTAATTGTGTTGACTTTTTTAAAATGATTGCAACAGGCAGGAGGTTTAACGCAGTATTAAACAGCTATTATAGGTTTGTCAACTTTGCGGTGAGGATAAGTTCCTGATGTGTGGAGAAAAAAGTAATCCTTTCTTTTCTACAGATGGCTGATTTTGCAGTTCGCACGTGTGGAATATTTTTGGATTACTTCAGAAAGACTTGTTTTCTCCCCTGGGACTAGAATCGGTGTTGTGGGTGACCGTCTCCTCTGCCAACAGCCTGCAGCTTTCAGTCCTTTTCCCCCACACTTTGCTGAGATGATTACGTTCTTTTACATCGTGATTGAAGTAGTGATCGCTGTTCTTTCCGTTTTCGGCAACGTACTGGTGTGCTGGGCTGTTGCGATCAACACCACTCTGAAGAACGCCACCAACTATTTTCTGGTATCTCTGGCTGTGGCTGATATTCTCGTCGGGTGCCTCGCCATCCCGTTTGCCATAACCATCAGCATCGGCATACCCCTGGACTTTTATGGATGTCTCTTCCTTGCCTGTTTTGTCCTGGTGCTCACTCAGAGCTCCATCTTTAGTCTTCTGGCTATTGCAATTGATAGATATCTAGCCGTTAAAATCCCTCTCAGGTGAGTGTTCATTTTGTCTGTCAGATTAATCAAGAAAGAAAGAAAGTTAGTTTTTACAGCTGGGATCCCTGCCTGAACAAATCAGTGTGAAGACACTGAAACATCAGACCAGAATAATGATTCATTATGGCTTTATTTACTTTTAAGTTCTTCAGGCAGTATTTCCTAACAGGAATGGTACATGTGTTTAATGCGCCCTGGAAGTTTGATATTTTATTCACATACTTGCTTTCATTCTCCCATATCTTCATAAAAGAGCTGAAAGTAAGTGCCCTCAACTATGCCATGTAGAAAAAGAGAAGCAAAGATCAGTATCAGCTCCGTGACCTTGTGATTCAGTTTCTTGCTGAGCTCATTGCCCCGTGTAAGAATAGCTTGGTTAAAGCCTAAGTCTGGAATGATAATCAGATGGCTTTAACAAACACTTTGAACTGACCCTTTTCACCCTGGGTTACATAATCTTAAGGTTGTCGAGTCAATGCCACCTTTCTGCATGCGCTTGGTTTCAAATCTGCATCATCTGAGTGTTTGGTCCTGTTCCTTTAGCTGATCCCCAGCTGATGTTTGATGTTTCCATCTGAAACCCCGCAGCTCGTGAAAAATGCAAAGATAAGTCATGCAAATGTATGATGTGACACATCAGGCGAAGCTGTGAGATCAATACCTGCCAGAGTGTGTCACTTCTCCTGAACTTCATGGCAAGGCCGCTAAGCTCCACAGCGCAGCCCCTGAAAGTGCCTGCAGTCCACATGAGGAAAAACGTAGAGATGGCCTGCCAGCAGGGACAAGAGCGCTGCTGCCTGACATTTCTCTGAATAGGAAAAAAGCAACAAAAACCCCCAAACAAACAAGCTTTATTATCAGATGGGGATTGTCTCTGTGCTGGTGGTGGTGTTCTTAGCGTTTCACCTTGTTAGTGAGTTAGACAACAAGCAGTGTAGTGACTGTTGTGAGAAGTGGATGTTGTTTTTGCTGCAAGGCTGTGTGACTGAAATGTGCTGTCATTTCCATTATACTTAGATGCTGGCAAGAAAGGACAGTTTGACACTAGTCTGGGATGAAAGTTGTCTGCCACTAACCTTGTGAAACCCCCCTTCTGTGCTTCTATTTTCACCCTACAGATGGAAAATGACATTTATCATGTTTTACATCCTCATAGAGAAATAGGACTTTGACTGCCTTTGAACTTCCAGCAGCTCCATACGTTCCCTGTGAACAGTGCTCTCCATGACTTTCATAGATTGAGCTTGAACTGAAATGTACATACTGTACTTTTCATAATAAGATCAATGTGCGTTTGCCAAGCTCACATTGTCCATACACTTGTGTGTGTGAGTTTGGTCAGTCTGACAGCCCCTGAGGACGAAATTCTAACTCAGATAAAAGTGTTTTTGCAGATGTTTTTTTGGAAGTGAAAGGCCAGCAGCAGATGTTTTAAGCCCCACGAGATAACAGAGCTGCACACCCACTCAATGCCCGCCTCAAGCCCCCGGCTTCCCTGTTTGTCATTATAAGAAAAAGACCCTCTGGCTATTTTGTCCCTCTGTCCTGTAGGTTTCAAATGAAAACAAACAAACAAAAACAAAACAAAACTTTATGCACATCATTGAGCTCAAACTATGATCCCCACCCACGGCGGCAGGACAGCCCCCACTGTGGTCTGTGAATGCAAGCCTCCTCTCGCCTCGGGCTGCTGATTTTAAACTGATCATGTTTCATAAAGTTAATGGAGCGTTCCTTGTCTTGGTTCCAGCACATGTGTATGTTTACTGGGTGTGGTAAAGTGTTGGTGTTGTTGTAAATCCAGCTTTAGTTATGTTACAAATGATGAAAAATGCATGGCTGCATTAGGGGCTGAAGAACCAGGAAAGGCTCTTTTGATGGCTGGAGTTCAAACAGCTGATCCATATTTATGGATTGTACTCATGGAGAATGATGGGAAAACAGGGTGTAGATGGAAAAAATGCTTAAAGATGCAGGCATTCAAAGAGGGATGGAGCACTCTCTGAATTTAATGAAGGATGAGTTATGCATAACAAATGCAAGTGAGTCAGTGAGTCCCGAAATGGATCAACTGTAGAGTCTGGAGAAACCGTCAACACTGGTTGAATTGCAGAAAGATTCTCAGACTATGGTTTGAAGAAGAGTGTGTCTCAGTCTGATTTAAGACTAATGTGGCATCTGTGGCTCATCTCAAACGATCAAAATCTGATGTTTATCTCGCCACAAGAGCAACAGCACTTACGCACAAGGACAGATTAGTGCAACATGAACAACATTTGGTAAATACACATATTAGAGTTCGGTGATAAGCTGGATACCACGGTGGTGTCTGTGTGCTGAAACTGCAGCTGGGAGAAAGTGAAAGCGAACTGGCTCAGTCCCGAAGCAACAAAACCTGCCCGCCGGCACCTCTGAAGCAAACTAATTAACCTGCTAGATCTCATTTGTTTAATCTGTGTGAAACAGGGAAATACAACACGTGGCTCAAACTGTACACTTAACTCACAGATATTAGTGTTGTCAGCTTATTCTCTAAGGGAATACCGTTAATTACCAAAATGTTCCCCTGCTCTTTTAGCAATGTTTCAATCTTCTTTTGGTGACTCACCAAATAGTATCTGCACTTTACCATTTCATGGGTGTGAAATAAAGGCACCCCAACATAAAAGGTCATGTTTCAAAAAATAGACATGGAGGGAAGTATCGCTTTAGTTGTGAGTCAGCAAAATGCAGGAAATACGGTGCTGAGTCAATCTTCCCAATGAAGCTTTACAGAGAGGTTACATCTGCGGGATAACGACTCAGCGATTATGTCTTTATTGGAGTGAAAACTCTTTACAGATTCAAATCTGTTTACCTTATCTGCTAATTATGCAATGGAGATGCTCTGTACACACCATTCGTCATGCAAATGCCGCACAGCCCTGTTTGCATGTATGGTGGCAATCTGACTGAAGTTTAAAAATCTCCTGTTTTCTGCTGTGAACAACCCACCTCTTAGATTGTTTTTGAAGCTGGGCTACAGACACAGCCATACATTTAGCTGGGTATTGTTAGTTTAGACTGTGTGTGTATGTGTAGGTTTGTGTAGTCTGGTATAGGCCAGTGGCCCCAGGGCGGAAGCACATTGACAGGGATGAGAGGAGAGATGTATGGAAAATGGGCCGGGGAGTGTGTGTGTGGGCGGGGGGGAGCACAACACAGATAGATGCCACCGTGCTGTCGTCATGCCAAAGCTAATCCGTTCAGCCAGTCGCTGCTTCCACACAGAGAAAGAGAGAGTGGGAAGTGATGTCCAGGAGATGGACCCTCTGCTGTACTTTGCGATTAACACTCGGAG